ACTATATGCCAATAAAATGGACAACCTAGAAGAAATGGACAAATTTTTAGAAAAGCACAACCTCTGAGACTGAACCAGGAAGAAACAGAAAATATAAACACTGATCACAAGCACTGAAACTGAGACTGTGATTAAAAATCTTCCAACAAACAAAAGCCCAGGACCAGATGGCTTCACAGGCTAATTCTATCAAACATTTAGAGAAGAGCTAACACCCATCCTTCTCAAACTCTTCTAAAATATAGCAGAGGGAAAACACTCCCAAACTCATTCCCTGAGGCCACCATCACCCTGATACCAAAACCAGACACAGATGTCACAAAGAAAGAAAACTACAGGCCAATAACACTGATGAACATAGAGGCAAAAATCCTCAACAAAATACTAGCAAACAGAATCCAACAGCACATTGAAAGGATCGTACACCAGGATCAAGTGGGTTTTATCTCAGGAATGCAAGGATTCATGAATATATGCAAATCAATCAATGTGATAAACCATATTAACAAACTGAAGGAAAAAAACCATATGATCGTCTCAATAGATGCAGAAAAAGCTTCTGACAAAATTCAACACTGATTTATGATAAAAACCCTCCAGAAAGTGTCCATATATGGCCACATATATAGAGGGAACGTACCTCAGCATAATAAAGGTCATATATGACAAACCCACAGCAACATCATTCTCAATGGTGAAAAACTGAAACCATTTCCACTAAGATCAGGAACAAGACAAGGTTGCCCACTCTCACCACTATTATTCAACATAGTTTTGGAAGTTTTAGCCACAGCAAGCAGAGAAGAAAAAGAAATAAAAGGAATCCAAATCAGAAAAGAAGTAAAACTGTCACTGTTTGCAGATGACATGATACTATACATAGAGAATCCTAAGGAGGCTACCAGAAAACTACTAGAGCTAATCAATGCATTTGGTAAAGTAGCAGGATACAAAGTTAATGCACAAAAATCTCTTGCATTCCTATACACTAATGCTGAAAAATCTATAAGAGAAATTTAAGAAACACTCCCATTTACCATTGCACCAAAAAGTATAAAATACCTAGGAATAAACTTACCTAAGGAGACAAAAGACCTGTATGCAGTAAACTGTAAGACACTGATGAAAGAAATTAAAGATGAATCAAACAGATGGAGAGATATACCATGTTCTTGGACTGGAAGAATCAACACTGTGAAAATGACTCTACTACTCAAAGCAATCTACAGAGTCAATGCAATCCCTATCAACCTACCACTGGCATTTTTCACAGAACTAGAGCAAAAAATTTCACAATTTTTATGGAAACACAAAAGACCATGTATAGCCTAAGCAATCTTGAGAAAGAAAAATGGAGCTGGAGGAATCAGGCTCCCTGACTTCAGACTATACTACAAAGCTACAGTAATCAAGACAGTATGGTACTGGCACAAAACCAGAAATATAGATCAATGGAACAGGATAGAAAGCCCAGAGATAAACCCATGCACATATGGTCACCTTATCTTTGATAAAGGAGGCAAGAATATACAATGGAGAAAAGACAGCCTCTTCAATAAGTGGTGCTGGGAAAACTGGACTGCTACATGTAAAAGAATGAAATTGGACCACTTCTTTACACCATACACAAAAATAAACTCAAAATGGATGAAAGACCTAAATGTAAGGCCAGACACTATAAAACTCTTAGAGGAAAACATAGACAGAACACTCTATGACATAAATCACAGCAAGATCCTTTTGACCCACCTCCTAGAGTAATGGAAATAAAAACAAAGATAAACAAATGAACCTAGTGAAACTTAAAAGCTTTTGCACAGCAAAGGAAACCATAAATAAGACAAAAAGACAACCCTCAGAATGGGAGAAAATATTTGCAAATGAAGCAACTGACAAAGGATTAATCTCCAAAATTTACAAGCAGCTTATGCAGCTCAATATCAAAAAAAAGCAACCCAATCCAAAAATGGACAGAAGACCTAAACAGAGATTTCTCCAAAGAAGATAGATTGCCAACAAACACATGAAAGTATGCTCAACATCACTAATCATTAGAGAAATGCAAATGAAAACTACAATGAGGTATCACTTCACACCAGTCAGAATGGCCATCATCAAAAAATATACAAATAATAAACGCTGGAGAGGGTTTGGAGGAAGGGAACCCTCTTGCTTTGTTGTTGGGAATGTAAATTCCCACTACAAATTTACATTTGTACATTTGGGTGGTAAATTCGCCACTATGGAGAATAGTATGCAGGTTCGTTACAAAACTAAAAATGGAACTACCATACGACCAGCAATCCCACTACTTTGCATATACCCTGAGAAAACCATAATTCAAAAATAGTCATGTACCACAATGTTCATTGCAGCACTATTTACAATAGCCAGAACATGGTAGCAACCTAAGCATCCATCGACAGGTGAATGTATAAAGAAGATGTGGCCCATATATACAATGGAGTATTACTCAGCCATAAAAAGAAACGAAACTGAGTTATTTGTAGTGAGGTGGATGGACCTAGAGGCTGTCATACAGAGTGAAGTAAGTGAAAAAGAGAAAAAGAAATACTGTATGCTAACACATATATTTGGAATCTACAAAAGAAAAATGGTTCTGAAGAACCTAGGGGCAGGACAGGAATAAAGACGCAGACATAGAGAATGGACTTGAGGAGACATGGAGGGGGAAGGGTAAACTGGGACGAAGTGAGAGAGTAGCATGGACATATATACACTACCAAATGTAAAATAGATTGCTAGTTTGAAGCAGCCGCATAGCACAGGGAGATCAGCTCGGCGCTTTGTGTCCACCTAGAGGGGTGGGATAGGGAGGGTGGGAGGGAGACACAGAGGGAGGGGATACTGGGATATATGTATATGTATAGCTGATTCACTTTGTTATAAAGTAGAAACTAACACTCCATTGTAAAGCAATTATACTCTAATAAAGGCATACTCTAATACTTATTCTAATAAATACATACTCTAATACATACTCTAATAAAAAAATTCTTGGTATGCCAAACAATTAATAAGTAAATAAAATTTAAGAAAAAGATGTTTGGAAAGTTCTGAACTTTGCAATGAATATTTACACTGATTGGCATTTCTCTGCAAGAATAATAGGAGCTTACTAAAACATACAACAAATTTCCCACTGTTCTCAGCTTTAGCAATCTTTGAATGTTTCTGTATATCACATGACAGAGAAAGCTTAAATGTAATTTTTCTGAGGATATTTTTCAGATTAACGTTAAGTACTTCATTCAAAATAACATGTCACACGTTCACATAAAGAAACAAAGAAAAATAGTAATTCTTGCACCCTTGTCACCACTTCATCCCTATTCCAATGTAAAGAAATATAATCTTTTAATTATTTCTCATTTCAGATTTTCTTTATATATATTCTCCAATTTCTTATATGGAATGTAAACGTTACTTTATTAACTCACCACCATGGAAACTGAGGATTTTGATCACTTAAGTTATCCTCTACCTCTGACCATCCCCTTCTCCCAATATTTTGACAATTTGATAATTATTCATTTTATTGCTTAGCTGTGCAACTTTATATAATGTACTTACATATTTTTTTCATACTTCATCAATTATCATCAAGTTCCCATCTAGATTAGATGGGGTTACCTTACTCCTGATCTTTTTACTTTTTCTTCTCATTATACCTACTACCTCTGTCTTCAGCATATTAGTTTATGCTCAAAAATAATACAATTTATATTCTGTTCTATGATCTAAAAGTGGAAAACTAATGAACTTCATGTGTATTATTATGATTTTGTAAAGTTATTAACTGCAATCTGAGTTGTATTTTAAAATAATGTTTTCTTTTCTAGTGTTTCAATATCATGACTTCTGGATCACTCAACATATAATATAGCCAACATTAAGACCATGTTGATTATTTTTTTGTCAGTTTATCAGTTGTTTAAAATTATGCCCACATTTTAGTATGCTTCATATTTGGACCATGAAATTCTTGTATTGGGATTAGCTTTTCCTGGTGTTTCTCATTTCTCCCCAACCTTTTTTTGATAAGATAATGTACTTTCTATGTAACCTCAAGTCTATTCATCTTCTAAACCTATTGAAAAGCTTCCCAAACAATTTCCAATGCACAGCAAGTGAGAAAAATAGGTTACAGGTGTACAGAGATGCCCTCATCTCTCTGATCAGTGTCACCAAGTTACCTTACCAGGTTGTATAAATATAAATATTTCTTACATATAATACGACATGAAGAAGGTTAAGAAACACTTATTTAGTGCCTTTAGACCTGTTTTTCTCCAGGAATAACACTTCTGGAACTCTTTTTCCCTCTGCCCCAATCTGGGGTAGTACCTTTCTGGTCCTATGTCAGAGACGTGGTCCTATGACTTCCTGTCTCTGCAGTCCTGGGTTGGTGTCTAATTTCCTGATTCCACATCTTTGGTTTTTTTCCTTCTTAATTTTCTCCTTGTTTTATAGTAGCTCGTCCCAAGTAATGTCTAAAAACACCTGGGTGAAGAGTCAATTTTATGAGTCCTTGAATTAAAAAAATGTCAGTATTCTGCCTTCACACTGGATTTATGAATTGCCTAGAGACAGTGCCCTACATTCATAGTCATTTTCCCTAATACTTCTGGAACCATTGTTCTATAGTTTTCTGCCATCCAGAGTTATTAATCAGATATCTGATGCCAGAGAGAATATTATACAGTAGTGGTTATGAGTTTTTGTCTCCAGAAGCTTGCATTTATTTTGTGTGTGTGTTATTGTTGTTCTTTTTTTAATTTTACTTATTGCAGTTAACTCAACCATAATTTCTTGACTTTCTATGAAACAGAAATTATGCTTGTCTATGCACTTAATTATCCAATATTTAGTTTTGACTTCTTTTAATTTTATAAATTAGGTACTATAATTCTTAGTGTAAATCACTGTTTAGTCTTACCTTCATATTTGGTCTTCTCTTTGATCACCATTCTGTCTTGCACCCCTCATTTTCCTTCAGTAATCATTTTCTTTTCTCTTGAAGTAACTATTTAGAAGTTACTTTAGCAAAGTTCTTTCTAATGATGTTGCAAAAATTTTCTTGCTGGAAAAATATCTTCATTCTTCTTTTTATAAAGATAGCTTTGCTGTGATATACCTTACTTCCTATATTTGTGGATTTATATGTTTTCATCATTTCTGGTAAATTCTCAGCCATTACTTTCTTATGTATTGCCTCTTCTTTATTTTCTCCTCAAAATGAGAGCTGCATAATACCTCAGGAGAAGGCATCCCCGAGAGTGGGTTGATATCAGGAAAAAGGAAACTGTAAAAGAAAGGAAAAGACAAGGCTAGTGAACAGGTAATCCAAGAGTTGGATAGGCAGTGTAGTATCTGTTCCCAGAGGAAGAGTTAGGGTAGAAGTCTGTAAGATAGAATGACCATACACATGCTCTGAGCAGATGAAGACCTTTCCAATACTTTACATGCAAGGATTATAGAAATTATTATTGCTCCTTGTTCTCAAACTGCTGGTAAGAAAAAATGTTTTCATAATTTTAATAGTCACATTCCATTTTTCTTGTCAGTCTCATCATATTTATTTCTCAAAATTCTCCTTACTGTGTGTTAAATTCCATTTTTCTTACCCAGTTAATGAGACTGTCAAAGCAGCAAGATCTAAGGATGGGCAGTATGTGAAAATAAAAGTTCACCTTGACTAAATCTTATCCCATAATATCTTCTTGGTTTATTTCATTCTATATAGATCTTCATGTCTTATCTCCTTTCCTTCTCTATAAAATTCTGTGACTTCTTTCCTCCCCCCTGTTTTTCATTATCTCCATTTCCATATCTGTCTCCATGTGGTGTCTTTCTCTCTTAACACATTAGCCCTGTATATTTCTTTTCCGTGGGCACCTTTTCTTTTCTTCTCTACCTCCTTCTTATCTCTCTATCTTATTTTGCCCTAGTTTGGTCTCTTTCCTTTATCTTTCCCCCAAACCATCTCCTATCTAAATCAAAAAAGGAAGACAAATTTTAATTTATAGAACTTTTAAATATTACTGAGTATTCAGATATCAAAATAAAAACATTATTTGATTGTTTTATATGTCTAGATAAAAAGTATGCTTTTAAAAAATTTGTACCATTGACAAAATCTCTCATCTATCCAACAGTCATACTCTGTTTTGATAAGGAAGTTTTATGTGGGCAAAACCTTTCCATCACCAACATATTTTGAATAGGTTTTGCCTCTCTATCCATTCATTCATTCATATAGTTCTTTCCTCTAAATGAGTTTACATTTTATCAGGGTGTTTAAAGCCTATACGCAGCGATCTCTATACAGAGAGGAATAGTGGAAGGTTCCTGCCTTCTTGTAGGAAAGTGAGTTACATAATCAGACAGGAAGATTATTTTGGTGACACTATGTTGAACATATTTTATGCAGGAAACTCGGGGTCATAATCAGATATGGTGATAGCCGGGATGATAGCCAGGATGGCAACCTGAACTGAGCTGGTGGCTATGGGCATGGAATTGGACTCTATACCAGACTCTGGACGCACTTCAAGCTTCCTTCAAACTATTTCTTTGCTTACTCTTAGGTCTGCAGTGCTCCTCTGTCTCTGTGAAATTTTACCCAATTTCAAGGCCTTGCTTTAATTACCCCTCCTCCTTGACACTTTTTCTTCTTCACTCTCTTGTATGTCTTACCAGAAATTTGGATGATTCCCTTCCTTAGAATTCTCACAGGAAGGAACTGATGTAGAGTTAGAAATGGATTGAAAAGAGGCAGGGGGTGGGGAAAGCAGTGGTTCCTACTGGAATGCACTTTGTAGTGACTCTTAAATAAGTTAAGGGCCTATTTATAATTTTCTCTCCAATTTTTCTTGTTATTGGGGTCTTATTTTACCGGACATAGTTTAACACTAGTTCTTGAAATTGCACTCTAATTCATGCCAGCTACATCACACTAACTTTCTGGTTCAGCAGTGTTCATTTTCACAGTTTAAGTTATTTCAAAATCCTTTAAAGATAGTATTTGATTCATTGGCTGATTGAATCAACACATGATTTTTTTTTTTGCACATAAACTTGAATGTACTTTGTGTCTCTCATTAAAATAAATTATTCATATGACATATTTATAATTTATAAGGTTATTCAGCTTACTCATGAAAAATGCTGTCAAAGAAAACCATTCTCTTGGAAATATCCCAAACCCCTTTTCATTATATGCTTTAAACACACATGTTCCGGCAAAATCCCAACCTTGAATAAAATCTAACTTTCTTCTGCACGATTTCACACATATCATATCACTGTACATGACAGGAGAAAAGTCACACATGGAGAAAATGAAATGTATAAAATTATTAAAATAGACTCTCAGTATCATGATTCTCCATGATATTTTAAAATATTCTTTACTCTACTTTTTTCTGTTTCTGAAGGACTTTTCTGTTTCTAAAGTACTATCCACATAAACCCATTCTCTAAAAATAATGTGTAAATATTTTGAAACCTTATTAATTAAATTACAGAATTAAAAAGTACAGTGTTGAGCTCTCAGGTCAATTTTGTTTGAAAGTTTGTGATAGATGAAAGTGCAGTATCAGAGCACCAATGACTTTGAAGGCATTGGCCAATATATAACATTTAAGTTTTGGTTCATCTGCTGTACTGAAAGAAGTAAAATCTCAGGTCTTGACCGATGTTGAGAGTCTTAAAGAAAACCTCCTTCATGTTAAGCTGGGATGGAAAAGCTACAATCACAGGAAAAGATCAAAGCAGACCTAAACGTAACTACTGCCCTAATCCCAGAAGAAAGTAGGAAAGTCTGCAGGAGAATAGAAAGGAAAGGAAACATATTTTTGAGACATAATGTCCATAGAACAATGGTGTGGTAACTTTTCACCCCAGCTACATATTTTGGGATATTCAAGGAACTGCAATCCATGAACTTCTTTAACTGTCACCTCCAACAGTTAGTTCCCCTCAGGCAAAAAGCAGAAGCAAATGCAATTCCTCTCTGGAAAAGGATACACTTAACTCTGGTCTCAAGGTACCTCCAAATTTCTAAGGCACTAACCATAATCAGTCAAAGATGACCAGGCAGTTAAAGAAAGAAAGATGCATAACAAAGAACCAGAAGACTCCTGAGACAGCAACATTAGACTTATACAGACCTCAGATAATGGAATTCTCAAATGCAGACTTATAAATAACCATGGTCACCTTATTTCAAGAAATAACTGATATTATGAGTTGCTCTAAAAACCTTAAATAAAAAGGACAGGGTTAAGAAAGTCAACCCCACATTGTATTTTGAAAACGAAAAGGCCTCTATTTCCAGCAACTGGAGGGCAGACTGAGTAGAAAATCCTAAGTCTGGGAGAATTTCAAAGCTGACTGGCTTCTCAGTCATGACTCCTCTTATGTTAAAGCCATGGCCCTAGTAGAAAAGGCATGGAACTCTGATAACTAGAATGAGAAAATTGGAGAGGATTTGTCTGGGAAACTTGAAACCCCTTATGTATATATTCCCCTAAACACTCCAGGCCAGGTGAAGTAGCCCACTTCTCCTTGCTAGAGGCAGATAGCACCTTACCCCCTGCCCCTAGTTGTACTTAATTTTGCTGAGGAATATATAGAATAAATAAAAGTTAAATGTGGTTATATATTAAAGAAGACATCATATATGTTGGCAGGATCATAACCATCGTGCCAGAAATCTAGGGAGAGGTCTATGTCATGTGAGCCATAGAGCTTGATAGTGGATCTCTGAGGTTGACAGAAATCAAGGTGATATGCTGATCTTATCTTTCTTTCAGTTTTTTCCCTTCCTACCCTTGTATAATACCTCCACCATATTGAATGTTTTTTTAAAAAAAGGTCTAAATTCTTAGGAAATGAGTCATATACATCCAAATTTATCTCACCTGAAAAGCCAACAGATTTGAGGCCCTACCTCCCCTTCAGGACTATGTCTGATTATGTCCAAGAGAGAACAAAGAGTTCATTTTGTCTTCAGAAATTTGTTGAACATCAATTTAAAAAAAGTGATAGAAGGGCTAAATGTTATATTGCATGATAACAGTGTATGAGAAGACCACTAAAGGAAGGAGGAAATGATGATGTTTATACTTTTTTAAATTCATGGCAATTTTCTCTAAAACTAACTTCAAATGAAATATAATTATATACAGGAGAAAAATCATAATAGTTCAAATCAATCTTTTGAAACAAACTGATTATCCAAATCATAGACTCTCTTCTCAATAGAGCTGACTGCATTCTAGTGTTAGAATTATTGACACAATCGAAATAACTATAAGAACTATGTGTGATTTCTAGTTAAAACAAATAGAAATAGCTCTTTGAGCTTGTAGAAGTTATTCAAGGTCTTTGGAATCTAGTTTACCCAAATATAAATGAATATTTTGACAAAATGACTTATGAAATCCTTTCAAACCTGAGTACTTTATATAGTTTTTGATGCTCCGATTCAAATGTATTTTATCTTCAATTCAAAAAGGAAAGAACAAGCCATTAACATTATCATTAAAATATATATTCAGAAAGCATTTTTAGTCTTTTTATGATCTATTCTGTAAAGTTCAAGCTCATTTTAAGCCCTCATATGGTATAATTCCAACCCACTATTGCCTTCTCTAAACCTTATGTGGTCTATATGTTAGTCAATGATTATTCTCCATTCCACAAATGTGGATGAATCCTGTACTGTTTCTTCCTTTAACTTTCCTCTATTTTATTGTTTCATCTCCCTTTCTTTTGGATGGCTTTCATCCTATACTCATCTGAATGTCAAAAATTTCTTTATTAAAGTTTAAGTCAAATGCCAACTCCTTTATAAAACCTTACTTAGTCACCCAGAAGAAATAGTGTTTCTTTACTTAATGCTTGGTAACTAATATGAATTTTAATCTAAAATATAACTCATCACATTGTCTTGTAGTTTTGTTCTTTGTGTTTATGTCTTACTCTCTCTAGGAGAAAGCAAGTTCCTTTAAGGATGGTACCATGAATTGGGCATCATACAACATTCATCCTGACATCAGCCCCAACACCCCTCAGTGCCTAGGAACTAAAAGACATTCCCAGAGAATCTTACTGGTAGTGATATTTAGGGAAGAAAGTTAAAAAAGATTGGGATAATTTTATCTAATGCACATTCATGACCCAAATCCCAGGATCAGTTACAGGACTGATAGGTCAACTTAGACTTTCATTAGATTGCATTATCAGCCCTTCTAATGTTTCTAGATGGTGCATCATTTGAAGGCTCATCACTAGCCA